GTATAAAGTTTAATATGGTATATTAGGTGCTTATATTGGGTAGTTGTCATAATGGCAAAAGGTACCACTTATGCTGATTATGACAATATGTCGGAAGAAAGTCATTCAAAGAGAAATAAATTCAAAAGGCCTAAGTCCGGATATGGGATTAGAACTCCATCACGATTGGATGATATGAATTCAAAAATGTGAGTTGTATTTCTTATTACAAATTTTATGCAAATTGTTTTTATCTATATTTATTAATTTTAGGATAGATTCGGATTTGGACCTTAACAGCAGATCATGTAAGCAATTAAGTTTAGTTAAACTCTGATGATTATTATTTTATTATCTTGGCTGAAGATTTTAAAATATGCATTATCTTTTATTTTGTCTGATTAAACGTGATCTACAATTGAATTGATTTGAATTTTACCTATTTATTCAAAACGGCTTTTCATTTTGTCTTTTAAAATAAGCGGATAATACACATATATATCCTAAGACATGTTTCTATACGCTTGTGTACTATATAAGCCTTGAACTCTAGTATTTTATACGACTTGATCATTATTACTTTATTTATAGCCTTCGCTGATTACACCTATATTTCTAAATGTATTCCCAGATGTCTAAAGCTGATGCCCTCCGATAAATCTGCTTAAATTATGCTAGTGTTCAAAAATTAATTTGTCTATCATCTATATCGTTTTATTATAAGTATCGATTGTAATTAATTGCCTACATGTGATAGTAGTCGACGATGTATTTACTAAATTCAACGGTTTCAATGAATTGATCTTGCACCCTCTTGAAATTTCTTAACTTACCAATTGATTACTTCCCTAAAGCACAGGTTTGCGGTAAGCTCAGCTTCGTCCTGATTAATTCATAATGAAATTCTCTGTAAATCAGGTGAAAACTCAAACCCATAATCACATCATTCTGATTTTATTAATCTCCATTGTTAAGAACCTTAAGATAATTCGCCACCAATGATAATCTTTGCCCTAGGACTATGATAAGTCACATAAATATTACATTGGAGCTGCGAGCTCATACCCAGATTTCCCTGGTGCGAATCAAGATATATAAAGTAATAGAAATTTACGAACACCTTTAAAGTCATCAAATTTACAACTTATATTCAGCCACTAAACTTACAAATTAAATTTGTATAGTATTACATTCAGCAAGATCTCTTGATTATATATTTTGCCTAAAGGGCTGTAAAAACCGAGCAAATTCTATTCCTACGATTCTAATAAGCTTTTCAGAAAAACTACTACTACTGGTTGCTTTCGTGTTGATTTTCTGTCCAACGAATCAAGAGAATGACTATAATTAAGCGAACATCTCAAACTATTTCACCATGGTTTATGATTCGATATAGAATACCTCCTAAGACATGTAATGAAACACTAATTTT